AAAGGGTTTTATGACTAAGTTGTGTTCTGTGTCTCTTTAACTTTGTGCTTTATGGTGGCATACAGACTCTTCTGAGAGAAGGATTTGATAAGTAATATCTCAGTCTTGAAGTGAGTAAAATAAAACAGTATAAATCCCGCTCCTCTTCCTCCACACCTTGGTTCTTTGTTGAGTGCAGCTTGACCACATTAGAGAGCTTGGTCCTATTGCAGAGTGAAAGAGCAGTGCTATCTTTCAAATTGGCAATTTTATACCACTTTCAATCTTCAAAAGCTCTTATTATGCAGAAATTCTCTAATAATATGCATCAGACAGCTAGCTTTCCCTTTTTCTTACTGTACCAGTGGATAATTTGCTAATGATCTTATTTTACTCTTCAGGGAGCAGAGTTTTCTCAATCTCCCCAAGAGCAAGGGATATAATAGCTGAAACTGTTGCCACAGTTCAGGAAGTGAGTGATTCTGAAGTATAAAGAAGGTGATTTGGAAGAGCAGGGTTTTTTTCATGTTAAGGGGAGCTAGATGTATACAGCACTTACTTTCAAAATGCTTGTGACTGTGTGTCTGCTTTATTACAGTGGGGCTGCAGTTAGCAAAAGAAAAAAACCAGAGAGGTTTTTTTTCCAGTTGAAAAATGAGTAACAAAATAGGGAAGTAACCAGGCTGACTGATTTCAGTGTAAGAAAAACACACAGCAGAAAACCTGAATATCTGAAAACCAAATCACGTGCAACGTAAGTGTGCAATGATCCATTACCCTGTTTTGTGGCAATGGGGTATGTACGGTATTGCCATGAGTGCGTCCATGAGTTACGTACGGGTAGAGAGAGTCCCCATGTTCCTGGTGGTTTGTGGGCTAGTTAGTCGCACAGGTGTGTGTGTGTTCTCCAGCCACGGTGTTCCAAGAGTGTATCTTCTGCCATGCGAGTGTCCTAAGGCACTTCCCATACAGCCAGAGCAGGCAGTGCTGAAGTGCTATGGTACAGCTGGATAGCTGTTTTCCGTCTTGGGGTGAAGGTTACTTCCAGTGACTGTCTCAGCATTACTTTCCGTTCCAAACCTGACCATTCATATCAGTGGGGTGCCAGATTCAGTACATGCAATTGTGCTCTTTAGTTGAAAAGGAAAGAGAAAAATGGAGAAAATGATAGTCAATGGGTGTTATGCCATAAACTGGAGTAGGGCCAGGAAGAGACTGTTTGCTCTGGCCCGTCACACATATGAGATGATATTTTCCTCCCTGGATGGAGATGCTTTCCATTTTTTTTTTTCCTTTTTTTTTTTTTTCTTCCTTCTCCCCCCACTTTGCTACAGATTCTTATAGCCAGTTAAAAAGCAGAACTTGCATACTCAAAATAAAATGTCTATCTATTTGCTTAAAAATGTCATCACCTGCTATTAAAAAAATACATCCCTTCCTTCCTTGTACTTAAACATTTTGTTTATCATTTTTCATAAGTGAATATACAAAGACTTTCAGTAGCTTCCTTCTATAGATTAATATTTCATTTTTCTTGCCTTTCTAGTACAGCATCAAACAGAACTTCATTAGTGCTGTTAATGTTCCATATAGCCCACCGACATACCATAGCCGCTGGCCAAGCAAAACTTCAATCAGTTTTTCTTCTCTTGTCAGCTCACACCTCTGACTGAGCAGCTGCAAGATGATTCATTGGAGAATGTTTCACCATAGGATAGAAAAAATTATTTCTGGCTACTTTTCCCATACTAATAAGATAATTTCAGTTGCAGATACTTTTGCAGCACTTCCTGAGCCATGCTATGCCCATTTGAAAATAGAAATCCTTTTATCCAAATGTCAAGAAAATTTTCCATGAAATCAGTGCTTTGGCTCTGCAAAACACATTTCTGCTGCGTTTTCTTGTTTAATGGAGTTGCAACAGTTGTATTTCATCCTATTACAGAGCAAGTCTCTACTAGAATTAATGATCAGCATTAGCTGGGAGATTTAGAGCAAAATTCTGTGCATAAGGAACATCTATATTCTGAAACCCACTGGCATGTGCTTAGTTAGCGCTGAGGAGAATTGTTTTGGATTTCTTTAGTTTGCTGCAAAGTCATGTAAGGAGTAATGGATTATTCAGCATTGGTGCCGCAATGGTTCCAATGCAATGGTTTCAGGCAAAGAATCTGTCAAAAGTAGGACATTTCTTAAAGGCCAACAGTGTGCTTCCATCCAGGCTTTTTATGGTAGGGTTTCTTACATAACTCCACTCAACTTCACATGCAGCCATAACAAAACCAGAAGAATTAAATTCTTTGTTTATTGGCATCTGTAAAAGCATTTAATCCCAAATAAAATTTCTTGTGATATAGGTTTGTCAGCTAGTTTGCAAATAAATATAGAGAAGCTGCTTTTGTTCTCAGTTTACCAATACTGGCATGACATTCAAGGCTTGTTTTTCCTGCATCATCTGTAAGCAAGTTCATAAGAATGCATTTAGCCAGTGCCTGCAGTACTGTGCAGGGCTTACAGATTCACAAATAAATTGTTCTGAAGAGAGGAACACAGGCCTTCTTTAATTCATTTGTGTTACTTTGACCTAAATAGCACTCTTTTATCCACTTCATCACCAATAAATACATTCCTCTGTCCCAAAGAAGAAATATATGCTGTGCAGTGTCTTAATGCACGTTATTAAGTAGCAAGTATGAAGATTCATATCGAGTCTGAACAACAGCTCTACTCTTTCAGCCTCTGAGGTTACATGCTTCATTGATTCTCTGGGGCTCGTAGTTTTGGCCAACCCCAACAAGTTATTTTATACTGATCCCAAGCATTTAGCACTGTAACTTAGATTACTTTCTGCCAGGAAAGCTGTCTCCCAGGGGGCATATTCTCCCATGGTAAGGGAACTTCTAGATTGTAGTCCTTTCTTCTTTTCCTTTTTTTCAAGTAATCTGTGGGTATGTGGGTGAATAGTAGTAGATAAGGCATGGGCTGCAAACCAGCCTTTTTTCACTGCAGTAACGTAATTTTCATTGATCTTCCTCTGATCTCTCAAACACCTCTGAGGTCCCACTGGCTTCTGGCTGCTCACAAGAAAAAGGCCAGAGTTTATACTGATTTAAGAGAGAGACACACTGAACAGCAAAAGGTTGTAAAGGTTTGACATTTCTCAGTCCTACAGTGGGACTACTTAGATGATTATCCTGGAATTCATAGTGGAGTTGAAAATTCAGTGTAAAACAATAGATAATTATGGCTTAATTTGTGGTACACAAAGCATCAGAAATATATGCTTGGTGAAATATTCCAGCAGGTAATTTTCATCATCATAAATACTGATATTGTGCAGTTATTCCAAAGAGATTTCATAGAGGTGTTTTTTAACATGTGAATAAAATGCCCAGAGCACATCCCTGGTGTGTAGAACAAAAAATGAAACTCAAAACCATATGTGGGTGACTGAGCGATAACGGACAGTATATGCAGGTGTCCCCCACTTAATTTTTTTTCCTTCAAATATGGAAAGAAGTGTTTTTGATGGATAGGGAAGCCTTGGGGTTTTCTTGAAGTTTATTTTTTAATAGATTTCATAGGAGACTAGAGGGTTATATCTTTATGCACACATTAGTATTCTCAGAAAAGAGATTAGTGCCCTTATTGCAGCTCACAATTGATTTTCTTATCCAGTTTACACTTTCACCTGTGAAAATAAGAGAGAACATAAATGGGAGCTCACAAGGACTGTGGGCAGAATTTTAACATATTTTACATATATCTCAGTGACCACATCACACCTTTCCTTCCTAGCCACATCCTGGAGGATACTAGATCAACTGCTGAGGTACTTTTAAGAGTTCTTAGTTTTAAATATTCAACTTTTTAAAGAGAGGTTGAGTCTCTACTTTGTCCAGAATGGCCAGTACATTGAGGGTTTATTCATTATTAAAACTCACAGTGGGTTTAGAGTTTTTTGTTTCTGAAGACAGTTTGTGCATATTGTGTCCCCCCTCTTTGCCAGTTCCATAGGCACCTCTCGGTCAGCTTGCTGCTCAAGTAGGTATGCTACCTCTGGTATAAAATACAATGACAATGCGATGAATCTGATAAGGAAGAACACATTGTTATCTCTCTTTGACTGCATACTCCTGGTATTCCCTAACTGTTAACAACACTCATACTCTGGGACCTATTTTTTAACCTGGCTTACTGTGTAACTGAAGAGACTGGAAATGAACATGTCACAAAGTGCTCTGCATCTCTGCTAAATTCATGAGGTCAGGTGTCTGCAGGACATCCCTTGGTGGATTTTGGATCTATCGAGTGCATCTAGAAATCTGTTCTATGGTAAGTTGTTACTGTAAAGTTTAGTCAGTGGAAGATGTGTGTTGTAAGAAACACACATCCCAAGGGAATTATTCAGAGGAGAAGAATGTGTTGTATTTAATCTTCACGGCCTAAGCATTTGTTTGGAATCTCAGCTGTTCACTTTGATGGTGAGAGAGGAGACTGCAGTCAGTTATGTTGAGAGGCAGAGGCACTGGATTGAGTCAACAGGAACTCTACAAAACAGGGAAGCCCTATTAACCTAAAATTGGTGTCACCAAGAGCAAAAGCAAGGACAAGAGTAATGTTTTGATATGCCCTCAGAAACAATCTTTGTTTATCAGGCAGCCTGCACTACTCAAAGGGTTAACAACTTATTATTTGAACTGGGATCCAATTCATTTCTTCATACTGAGGCAATTTACACAGATGTCAGATTACCTGTCATGTAAAAATGAGTTGCTAATACGTAAACGGTGAATTGGGATTAGCAGAACCTCCACTGTTGGCAGGGCCAAAACTGCTACCAAGTCCTTTAATGGAAATGATTCAAAACTTTACTGCAAATAATTCTGAAAATTCTGGAAATACAAATGTTAGTAATGAAAATACTTCTGTGAAACCCAGAAATACTAGAGACATTGTTCTTGCATCAGATGAATATCGCAATTTAATCTGAGTGAATTTTCTCCTTTCTTGCTAAACAGACATTGACGAATGCTCAGATGGCTTTGTTCAGTGCGACAGCCGTGCTAACTGCATTAATCTGCCTGGTTGGTATCACTGTGAATGCAGAGACGGCTACCATGACAATGGGATGTTTTCCCCAAGTGGAGAATCCTGTGAAGGTCAGTATCTAAAAGAGGTGGGTTAATGTTATGACATGCATTGCAGTAATGTCTAGTATCTCTGACTGTAGTGGTCAAGCATTGTTTTGCACACTGTATCAATGAAAGTTAAACCTTTACGCAAAGCAATTGTAGTCTAAATAAGCATGATAAAAGGCAAAAGAAAATAAAATATGAATATTCCTAACATACATGTGGAGCATTAATGGCCATTTCAATGATTTCCTAAGACAATATGTGAAGTCAGGCATGGTGTTTAAAATGCAATTTCTCTGGCCCTGCATCTGCTTCTGTATGTGGTCTTTGCTTAAGTGATTTCCCATGGGCTGATAGCACGCACTGTAATCTGTCACTCCACAGTAGTCTGTTTATGTGTCAGATTCTTTATTTGGAGATATGGGCCTCAATCCAGACCTCAGTTCCTCCACTTCATTCCTGGTACACTGAAACAGTCTGTGATGAAAATATTTCCTGTTGCAAAGAATGATTATGCAGCCCTGACACCCTTACCCACACCTGGGTTAGTACTGCGGCGCATAGGCTAACGGTTTGTAGAAAGATGCAATCTGAAGAACAACCTTACAAAATGGGAAGCTTGGTGGACCTAGGGCTGGAGCAAGGTGCAGGGGACAAGAAAAGTGATGGGGGGACAAGGAGATGGGAAGGCTTTCTTTGTTTATGAATGACATTAGAGAGAACAGCAGGTTAGTAAGAATACGGTTATTTTCAGATGTGGATCTCTTAGTATGGAATGTTATTCAGCTTTTAGGATATTGCATGCTGCTGCTCTTAAATAAGAGAGCAAACTGATCTGTTTTGCCATGGACTATTTAGGTCAAAATTAGGAGAGGGGAGAGCCCTTCCATCTGAGTGCCGAAATACTCAGTGCTCATACAGTGTAAGCTTTCCTACCTTACTGTTTAAACTCACATTGGTGGGCTGCATCAGTCCTAAAGGAAAGCAATTGAATTAATTTCACTAAGGCAGACATACAGACAGTTCTCCAGGAGTGCGAATGACCTTTTTGGTATCCTCATCATCAATACTTTATTTCAACACATCTTCACCACAGGTGAATGCCTGTATTCCCAGGAGGAATCGGCAATTTGAGTCAGCCACTGCTTTCATAAATCAAGCTTTCTTTGTCAAGAACTAACTAAATGTCAGTGTTAGCTGGCCAGGTGTTAGGACAAGAAGGTGCAAAGAAGTTATGATCCCTCTGGTTATAGCGTTGCCCTTCTGTCACTCGCGGCACAAGTAAGACTCTAGCCAGGCTTTTATGTAAATATTCTAAATAACCCATTTTATTTTCAATGTCAATATAACATTTGTCTCGTTGGTTGAAGATAGTAGTTTGGCACATGCTATCTCAAGAGATATATGTGATACAAAGTGACTCTGTTAAGATGTGTGCAAACAAGCAACAATTAAGCAGCAATTTCTAAGCAAATGAAAAGACAAAGAAAAAGAAATATGGAGATTGCTACATGTATGCAGAAGTGGCAATTATTAGAATGTTTTGACCTTTTCTACAAAGCACTAGCAGCTCTTTATTAAACATACACAGAGGATAACAAGTAATTAGAATTAAGACACAGATGCCAGGAAACTGTCTTCGTTGCTGATAACCCTAGTCACTAACAGTGGAACACTTTCAGTTTGATTGATTGCAGCTCTAAATTTTGGAATACATAGCAACTTGAGATAGGGAGGAAGGTTAGATATTTTATGGATCACTTTTTATTGGATTAAAGCCTGTGACATTGTGTCTCAGACAGAAGATAAAACCTGAAAAAGGCATGAAGAGACAGCCTAAAATCCACTGCAGTATGGAAAGTTAAACTTCCCATAGCAGAACACAGTAGCACAAAAGCAGTAAGTTTCTCTGCTGTCAGATCTTTTCACTGTGAGACATTCTCATACTAGGTTTAAAGTCATAAGAAAATGGATTTCTTTTGTCACTTCTTCAGTATCCCCTAGTTAGAGGTGATTAGATTGAGCTGTTGGTAGATGGTCTTTTAGACAGTCACTGTAATGGCGGAGCGGCTTCCAGGCTATACTAATCTGAGATTTCAAATCTCAGTTCTCTACTTCCCACTTGCAGCTGTATGAGCTTCTTTCTGCATTCAGGATTGGTATCCTCTGAAACATTCTGGCTTGTCATGGTTTTGAGCCCTTGGCTAGCAAACCACAATTGCTTGCTCACCCTCTTCCCTCCCCTCTCCCAGTGATGGAGGATAGAATTAAAGGGGTAAAGAGAAAAGAGACTCATGGGTTGAGATAAGAACAATTTAATAAATAAACTACAATAATATTGAAAATAATAATAATGATAATAATAATAGTAATGTGTACAAATATACAAATGAGTGATACACAGTGACACTGCTCACCACCCAATGACCAAGGCTCAGCCTGTTCCTGGCTAATGATCCTGAAGCAGGGGAAGTCCTGAAACAGCAATCCCAAAACAGAGATAAGAGCCCAAGTGTCCAAGAGACAAAAACGACCCTAAGAGAGGGGAGAACCAGAGGGAGACGACCTGAAACAAGGGAGAGAACTTCCAGAAGAACCTCGCCTATATACTGGGCATGACATGCATGATATGGAATATGCCATTGGCCAGTTTGGGTCTCAATCATAAACCTAAGGTCAAATCCTAAGCTAGTAACTGGGGCTGTGCTCCCTTCCCGCTTCTCCTGCACCTGCAGACACTGGCACAGCAGAGATGCTGAAAAGTCCTTGACTGTCCTGGCAGCAACTATAAACATCAGGATGTTATCAGCCACCTTCTCAGCACAAATCCAAAACACAGCCTCACGCTAGCTGATATGAAGAAAGTTAACTCTGTCCCACCTGAAACCAGGACACTTGTGGAAGTGCTACAGCTTGCAGCACTGTCAAAGGAACAGTGCTGAATTGCACCAAAGAGAAACTGGGCCTGCCTTGATTTCTTTCATGGGAAAACAAAGAATTTAAACCTCATGGGGATTAGGAAATGTTCTTCGAGGCCTTGCCCATTTTGCTTTCTAAGAGGACTACTTCAAAGTAGTGTTTATATGGAGTGCACAATACTCTTGCCTTTGGCTCATATTTTGTAAGTTTTAGTTTCTTTGAAGAAAGCTCCCTGATTCAGTGGAGAAAACCTTTAAAAGCCAAGGAAATGTGGGTTCAAATCTTTTCTTTCTTGATTGTTCTGTATGGTCTGCCTCAAATCTGGGTCTGTCTGTGTCCTGGGTATGTGCTGGTAGTACTACAGAAAGCATTTCTGTGATCAGTGTTAGTCAGAAACTTGTTTCCTTCAGCAAAGGCTCCAGTTTTAAAGATTCAGGTGGAAACACCTCTGTTAAAGATCACAGAAGCAGAGGAGCATTTACTTAAAAAATGTATTTTAACAGAATACCAAAACTGCACCTACACTTTTTGCAGGAAATGTTCCCATTACGACATCGTACTAAAAATTCCTACTAGAGGTAGACTCCTTCATAGCATTAGACTTTGTCAGTGCTCGATAATGAAATAGTAGTTGCTGAATTGCCTGTTTTACACATATATTGACCTTGGCTACTCCTGCTTCTTTGGCACGAATGAGAGTATTGAGTATTTTGACTAATGTACTTGAATGCAGAAATTCATAATCCCATTTTATTGTACCTACAGGCAATGGAAGACCTAAAGATTCTTTTGCTATTAGTTTTGCTTCACATTCTACTCCTGGGTAGACCTGTGGTCTCTATAACAGTTGCTGAGAGAAATTATGGGAAATGTAGCTGTAGGGCTTTAACCTCATGGCAGCACTTGCTGCTTTTCCCTTGGAAATAGTATTGTGTTGTGTGTCATCTTACTTACAGAAAAGTGCTGAAAGATCAGCAACTTAGTCTTTGAGAACTGCATGAGTTTGGGAAGTCTTAAATTTTATATATATGTAAATACAGCATTCAGCATGGTATATTACCTGGTACCTTCCTCTTTGCCCCCCTATAACTTTTCTTCATATTTTCTTTACACAGTCTTATTGGTGCTCTGAAGGTTGTCTCTCGTGTACCATTTCATGAAAGAGAGCTAGGCTAAAGTAGTAGATCTTGCAGCCTCAAGCTTTGTTGCTTTAAAAAACTGGAACCACTGAGGGGCAAAATCCTAAAAAAAACCCATTCAGGCCCAGTTAATATTTGCTCTGCAGTTCAGTGTAAGATCCTGATTCCTTTGAATTTGTCCCCTGCAATGTCTAAAAGCTTCCAAAATCAGTTGAAGAGAGAAGCTGTACTGGTTTGTACAGAAGTAGTGTGGGTTTTACCTCATCAGCTGTTGAACATTTTGCATAATTCCATGTCCAAAGAATAGCTTACCTAATTAATGCAGCCCCATAGGACTTACCAAGATTATCTGGCAGGTACCAGCTGTTGCTGATACAGAATATGAGATCAACATACCTTCACTCTCAGCAGGTACCGTGTTCTCTGAACGAGACAGGTGCAAATGAAAAGATTGGAAAGCATCAATCCAAAATGCCGAATTCACAAAGAATTTTTTTGGTTGCAAGGGTTTATTTCTATGTGTATGTTCTGAAATGTCTTGTTATGTACTTCTGCTGTCCTGCTTGCAGAAGTAGGATCACTTCCGTCTCTATGTGATAGGTCAAGCTGCCTGGAAACAGAGAGGGCTGGGGCTCAACTTGAACAATATTTTACACAGTCCAGGATAATGAGGGATGGAAGCATATTACAAGTCTCAGGATGCTCCCCAGCCTTAATAAGTGAACAAAGTCCAAAATGGTCACTTCAGCATCCATGTTTCTGGATCTGGAAGGCAGAGGAATTGCTGACTGTCAGGATGTCTGAATTTATTTCACAGTACATATTATTTTAACTAGTACATGAAATTTCTTGTAGTTGAAAAACTGCTGTCAGTTTGGAGTCCTACACTTAGATCTTTCTACAGTGCTGGTAATGTTTAACAGAAGCTTTGTTATTGATAGCACTTGAGGAGACAGGAAATAAAGA